ATAATGTTAGCGCAGACAGAATACAGCTTTTGATTATTTGCGGCTCAGAGATGATTTTGTTTTGGGATCTAGTTAAATGTGTTTTCATAATGCTTAACTCTGCTCTCTGTGTGTGTTTAAGGGAATATTAACAATGAATGCATATAGTAAATGTCACATGTGTCTATTGTCTGTAGATTGTTGGTGTGAGGAAATGGATTCCCTTGTTTGTCTTTGCGACAATAGCCCCTGCAAAACTATTATATTATAAACTATTATATTTGGCATGTTTGTGTTGATTATTTAGTTGAATTCACATGCATTAATCTCATATTGTAATAGGTATGGTACTGCCAAATTTGGACTACTTAACGAAGACCTTCAGGTTTGATTATTAAATAACAGAGAAATTTGCCATTTAGTTGTGTATTTAATAATGATATGTGAAAGAGTACGAGTGCAGGAACTCAGCGGTGCACAAATGCCCTTCGTTAATAGTCTTTGCAAGGGATCAACAAACCATAGGAAACCAGAATCAAGGGAATGTGTGAAATTCTAAGTGCAAGTGTAGGAAGTGGGGCAAATTACTTGAGATGCAGCATCTGGCAATGATTAGTGGCCATTAATTGGTGTTAACTGGTGCTACTAGTGTTTACAGAGTTGAAGGATAATTAGCTGGGGGTCAACTCGGGGCTGAAATTAACATGTCAGAACTCTGCAGCTGTCTCGTGACAACCAGGCGAGGTAATGGTGGGGTGTACAAAATTTAGTTGGCAGGGTAGCTGAGGTTTATGTGGATGGTTGTGTGTGTGTGTGTGTGTGTGTGTGAATGTCATGTGGATTATTACGGGTATTTTACAGAGTGAGTCAGTAAGTTGTCGTGTGTCTGTGAGTGTGTTTGAGATAAATAGAGAAAGAATAAGTGCTTATGTGTCTGTCCTGGTGTGGATCACCACATGAGTCAAAGTGATAAAAATGAAGCGCCTCAAGAATAGCTCTCAGCAGGGCCCAGATTTGAATTGGCAGAGTAAACAGTGAAAAGAAATACTCTAGTCCAGCCAGCCGGTCTGCAGTGTGTCCACACACAGCTGGGGGGGGGGGGGGGGCGACAGGCAAGCACTGTGTTTGGGAGAATGAAGTAGACACTGCTCTCTGATTTGACCTCCTTTCGCATCCAAAAGGGGCAGCATTGTCATTTAACTAACAGTAGATGAGAGCGACAAGATTAACAAGGCAGCACACGTGGAGCCCTGGAGGACTAGCCACCACTTTGTGGAGGCTAATGGGCATCCGAGTAAATTAAGAAAATAAAGCTGCATGTAAACGCCATTGTTGAAGTCATATTAGGGGAAGTCAATGGAAAAAAAACCCTATCTGCTCTCTAGCAAGACGAGGTAACATTTTTTCCATTGACATCATGCGCTTGATGGCAATTCTTTTAATTAAGCAAATCTTTGCTCCATGAGTTTGTTGATACCGTTACTGGTGGACTTCTTTATGATTCAAATGAACTGTGAAAAGGGACTTAAATATGCACTTGATGGCATATGTAATATTATACTAAAGACTAAGGATAAAGGCTGATCTTCTCACCTAAGTACTATCCTGTTTGTCTTGATTCTTCATTTGTCAAAACAGATAAAATAAGCTGGGTAAAGTATGAATTTTCTGTATTTATTGGTTTTGTGTTTTATGCTCAACTTTGTTTCCCACCTGGGACTGCACCCCCTCTTTTTCTAAAGTCTTTTTCAACTGCTGCAGATCACAAAGGGACGTCTGTCGTGATAGTCCTGACACATCCAAACCCTCCTCACACACTGGAGGATAACTCCCAGCCATCAGAGTCGCTATGCTTCGATACAGGATAATGACTGGAGCGAAACAGGACTAAATTCATTGTACGATAACTTATCTCTCTAGGTCTGTGGGACTTTTTACTTCTTGTACGAGGACTGAATTCATTTCATCTGTGCTGATACAGCTTCCCCGTCAATGAGAGGGAACTCTGGGGCTGGGAGATAGTGAGGGGGAGAGGATTCACCGCACACTGCAGGCATAGCGGAAAAACCGAGATAAGAATATTTAACAGGAGGAAGAATTGTGGCGTCTCCTCCAAACCAATAATGTGACTGAGGATGGAAATGAAAAGAAATCTCTCAAATTCCGTCTCTAAGAATTCATATAACAAAATTGAAAGGGTATAGTGTGTTTCTGTATATTTCGACAGTATGTATGAGAGTGTGTGTGTTGTAGGACAGTGAATTGTAAAACATTTCAGTTTGATTATGGAATATCAAGTATCTATTACAACAGACTTCTAGATTCATGTCGGGCTAAAGGCCCCAACAGTTTAGATTTGTGTCTGTCCCAGGTGAAAGAGTCTCATTCGAGAAATGTGGTGAACATTTTAGTCATCAACCAAAGCGCTGTGAGGCATGTCCACCACTGGCTGTTTTAGAGTCAGAAATGTATGAGCGAACTCTCACAATATGACTGCTGCTACAACCCACATCTACAAACAAACTGATCTGAATACAGCATGAAATGTTGCAGAATACACTGGCTGTGTTTTCAAAACGTGAATGTTTCTGAAGTTGCTGAAGGGTCTCTGCAAACATATTCACCCCCCAATTATTTCATAAAACTACAATTCACAAGCAATTTATTTCCTAATCGCACTTCTCAGAATTGATGCTGTCAGACAGAGATTGTGACTAAAGTTTTGTTAGATGTGTCCCACACAGTGCAACATAAAATAAACCTGTAAGATCCCCATGGTTATACGGAGTTAAGGAGCTTTAAGCCACTTTTTAAAACAAATCTATTATCTGCATTTATCAACATGTTTTTACTTTATTAACACAGATTACGGTCTGAATCCAGGTGGATGCACTGTTTTGATTGTTTATCACGACTTTGCTTTGAAGCATTTTTAGTCAAGAGACATGAAAAGACATGAAAATGTAGAAAGACAATCTTGCTGTTTACGACTGACACTCAGTTGGAAAATTAATCAGTCCCCCTGATGATGACTGCAAATTGCCCAAGATTATGTTGACACGTCTTCATTGCTGCATGTAGGAGGAGGCGATGGCAGCAGAGCTGCCATTTAGCCTGCCAATAGCCCCAGGGGATTCTTCTCCTCTAGCATTCTTTTTAATGTCTGGCAATTAAAGGCCGTCTAACTGCCTGAGAGAAGGAGTGATGGAGAGAGAGAGAGAGAGAGAGGAATAGAGGGAGTGTGACTGAGTGATGTTTAAAGAGAGAGGCAGAAAGAAATGAGAAAAACGCATAAAGATAGGCACACACCCAAAAAAAGATCTCCAAAGCTCGATGATCATGTTAGGGAACCTGCCAGTGCTTAACTCTATTTAATGCTGTCTCTGCGGTGTGGTCACTTAAAACAGCAGCCATTTGTACAGCTAAAATTCTCTGTAATCTAACAAGGGGTACTTAGTCACTGGTGAAAACTTTCACACTAACAGGCCCTGAGGGAATCCCTCTCATCTCCTCTCAAGTCTTATCTGTACGTTACAGTGATGTTCACAGTCCATACACTACAACTGTTCCTCCGGCAAATCCATCCTGCCTAGTTTCCATTCACATTAGCAGTTGATGCTAATGCTTTCCATATCTGTCATTGTGACAGGCACAGCACGGTGGTTTGTTTCACTCAACGGGAGAAATTAATCACACGCATTTAGTATAACAAGAGAATATTTGAGCTCTGCATTAACTACACTTGTGCTGGTTTTGATGGCCATGTTAAAATTACATTTCCAGGCTCCTATTTGTTAACAGTTCTAACTTAACAGTCTTAGCAGCTTGGACTTGCACATGGGGAAAATGTATTTGTTTATATAGTGTACACGTTGTAGGCCTTAAGTGTGATTTCAGTGTCACATTATGAAAGCCTTTAATGTGAATATGCAGCACAGTTTCCTGAGCAATATTTACGTGGATCAAATGATCGTCATTGACAAATGTTATAGTGCTCACTATCAATGACATCTTAAAGCTAGGGTTGGTTATGTTGAGAAACTGGCAAAAGTATGCTAAATTAAAAAATATATCCAACTGAAAACCCTGTTGGGACGCAAAGACAAAATATAGTAAAAATCTTTTGAAGAAGATTACCAACCCTAGCTTTAATATGAAGCACAGTATAATGGAGGCACATTATATGCAGATTACATCTATTAGTTACTGCTGTGCTGCATGCAAAAGGCATGCCCATGGGAGAGCAACAAATCATTTTAAACTTCAATAAGTTACATGCGGCGGCAAGTCGACACATAAATGCCCCAGGCAGCAACGAGGCTGGAAGCACAGGGAGGGATACCATTCTACACAGTAAACAAAGAAAAAATGTAAAAAGACCGATGAAAGAGAAATGAACATCATGGCATGAGAGTGCCTCGTTTTTGATGAGGTCGGCAGTAGCTTCCTTTAATTGTCACAGCATAATGCTGAGGATAAGCATGCCATTTGTTGTAAACTGACAAGGCAAGAATGACTTGTGGCCAACATGTCAAATTAATATGACTTTTTAATTAATAGAGCGTATATGTCTTTGTGTATCAAAATAATAACATGTTGGTGCAGGCATCTTTGCATGTAATATCCAGGCATGTAGAAGTACTCTTTGGTAGGTCCGGACAGTGTGTAATATTGTACAGTATATTTACTTTTCACCACTGATCTTTATGCTTTACCATGGTTTTATAATTATTTGTATAACTGTTTCATAATTCACACATGATATTTCTAATGAAGACTGTTTTGTTTTGCAACGGCAAGAGCTATTATTTGGTGGACCATAACTAGAGAGGAAATATGTCGATATAAGATATTTGTTGGATGAGAGGGAGTGTCCCGACTTTCAACTCGTCACGAGTGTTTTTGTCTGAGCGTTCCGTCCCACCCTCGTGCTTATTGGTCAACTCGACGAAAAGCACGTGTCCGATTGGAGGAACCGACCGTCTGTCATCGCTGTCAACGTGTAAACCAGGAACTGGGACTGGGAGAAGTGGTGTGTTGGCATTCTGGAGACATTTCGATCAAAGTGCAATAAAAACAGTCAATTCCGTCGTCTCGCGCGTCCGCAACACATCAACCAGGCGTGTTGTCATGCAGACGAACCTCGACAAAAGCGACACGTTCTCTCGGTAAACAGCAGCAGTGTAAGTATCTTCGTGAGTGCAATGAATTAAAGCTGCCCGGGTGTCAATTACGTTTCCACTTAAATGTTTTACGTTTTGTGCAGGTGAACGATAATTCGATTAGTTTGGTTTTTTTTGCTCAAAAGTTGACAAACTGTATGAATTTCCTGCAAAGAGCCCTCCTCTCTAATAATGTCTTCTTCATGTTCGGGACTGCAGAAAGAAGCCTTAAAGTCTGTTTAATATCAGAGTGTAATGGGTGCTGACGGATAGAAAGATGCACGTCTAAATCCCAGAGAGCACAATGCCCCAAAACACCATGGACTCTGTTTCCCCTTTTATCAGGTCCATGCACTAATACATCTGACCTACAGGCTGATAAATACTACTATAATACTATTATAGTTTTAGAAAGGTGTTGGAGATAATATACAAAGATGTGTTGCAAATGTTTTGCTGACCCCCATTAATATCGATGAGCGTACCCTGAATATAAAGTTGAGTGAAAGCAAAATGAAACATTCTAATATGAAACCTATGGCTTTCTAACTAGCGAAACAACTATCACTAAAGGCCATTCTTTAAGAAAATACTAGAGTTACGTGCTGGACATAGTTTAGGTGTCCAGTACATTCAGGTCCTGATAACCACTGTTAATGACTAGAACGTACTATCGGCCATTTCCTCTCTGCATACAAGGTGCTAATGTGAACGAGAAAGTATTATTTTATCATCAGCAACATTGCTGCTGCTGTCACTCTGCTTCGATATGTTTTTTTCTAATAATCAGCGATCTACCTTCTTTGCATTTCTTTATCCCTTCACTGTTGCTAATGCTAGATATACAGTAAGTCACACATGTGGAGAAATGCCCGAGTGGAATGACCATAAGGGACGACGGAGGCTTCAAATGTGTTGCTTTTGGCAATTTAGATGTAATACTATGATGTGCGCTGCACAGTACAACATAGCTTGAAAACCTGAGCCGACTGTGTCCGACTGTAAACAATACATGCGGATAATTTCATCCTCTCTTCCCTTTGTCCTCCTCTCGCATCCTCTAATTTGCTGACTCTGGTTCCCGCTTGCTGGAGAACAATAGCATACATACTCCCTCTCTGCTGGCAGTACCGGTGTTTGGAATGTAGCTGAAGACAGTGTTTTTAGTGTAAGGTAAAAATTCAGGTCTCTCAAGGCAGCAGCCTCCCAAGAGAAGGCATCAGTCAGCACAAGCAGCCAGCCACGCTCCTTGAACATGCTAATTCAGTCTCTTTCCTCTATTCCCCTGCTGCACCTCGAGACTCTTCGCCGCTCCTGTTCCTCTTGGATGCACATAGATACTTTTTTTTTTTTTTCCCCCTTCCGTATCTGCCTCTCTTTTCTCCCCTGTGCACACCTGCTTACACATTTCCCTCCCTATCACTCTTAAACATGCCTTAAAATAAAAAAAAAAGAAGATAATCATTAGCCTAGCAGGGCTTGAAAGATATTGAGTTTTACTTGTCAAAACATATCGGGCATATCTTTCAAATCATGCTCAAATATTTCAGCCACAGAGCAGGTCAGAGGGACTCGAGCATCATCAAAACCAGCACGGGCCTGCCCCTCCACTCATACTTGCTTTTTCCACTATTTTAAACAAAAGGCTACACTATTGATTGATGCGGTGTGTTGTGAGGGAGCCTGTCTGGAATTTAGAGCGCCGTGCTCACTGAGAAACAAGCATGTTGGGATGGATTCATGAAACACACGCACGTTGAGTTTCAGCACTTTGCACAGAAAAGTATCGTACAAGCGTATAGTTATTTCTGGTAAATGTACATCTACACTGCTTGACATTTACTCAGTCGCACTCTTGCATCCGGTGGTTACATGTGGAGGCTAAATATAGCATCTGTATTATTCGAAGCACTTTTTCTTTATATCTTCCCTGTGAGCTGTCGGAGTAATCAAAGAGAGCTCATGGTGTGAAGGGAAATGGTGTTAGACTAAATGAGACGGATAGGAAGTGCGCATACTGTGAACGTAACGCACATGGAAGGTGGTGAAAATTAATTGAATTATGTGTAGCAGATGTATGTGAAAGATAAACCATCTGCCTGATCAAAACTGACTACTCTTCTCCGTATATGATGGTTGTATTAACTTGAATCCTTCCTGCAGATTTCACAAGTTATCTCGGGCTACAGCAGCAGGGATGGAGCTATATCCATATTTGATTAAGCTAAATGATCAGGTGCTGCAGTGAGACCCAGCGGTAGGATTCTCTCACTCAGAAGGTGTTTCATTCTTCTCGTTTCTCATCAGGCTGAGGAAGGAGAATGGGGAAGAAGGATGCCTGTGGGACCAGCTTACCAGTTGATCAGTACCGAAAACAGATTGGTGAGTCTTCATTCATCGTAGTGCCGGTCCCATCGATTGGTTGATCATCGGCACATTTATCAACTGTAATCAAACATCCGTTGATTTTATATTTTGACACTAGTTGGTAATGGATTGAAAGAAATGCTCGTATTGATTTTTTAAATAACATAAAATAAATTGTCTGAGCTCATTTATTGAGTATTTTGTATACTAAATGAGTAATAGTTTAATCAATATACAGTATATATATATACTGACAATTAAAACAATAAGGTCTGTAAATGAGGTCATGATGCTTTTTGACAGTCTTTGATTTGTTTTGCATCTCCGTCTTCAACAAACATCATAAAGCAGTGCTTGACAAACACGGCAATCAACTCCGCGTTCTCTCATGGAGACGAGCTAACGTCACACTCAATACATCACACATGATACTGTGTTGCAGTGAGCATTTTTCTGGTAGTTTCACATCGGTCCCAAACTGCTTCATGCAAAAAAACAACTGCTGAATATCTTTACACAGTCCTGGAAACTGTTCCAATTTGTATTGTATTGGAAATAAACTTTAACCAGCCTCACTGGAGTAGAACCAGTATACAAGCTGTGGAAGTAATAACACTTTGCGTCGCGCATGCAGCATCTAAGGTCACAGTACTGACAGACAGTGAAGCCTCCGCTTATAAAGCCACTGCTTTGATATCATGTCAGAAGCTGTTTTGTCAAAGTTGAATATCGCTCTAATCCTGCGGTATTTTGTTTCCCCATCGTTCCCCTTACACCACAAAGGCCTAACTAAGGCAATATGGTTGGCATCAATCAAAAGTTTGGCCCTCTTTAGCATGCCAGCTCTGGCTGCTTGAAGATCACAGCTGGTGTCTTTTTCTTTTTGCTATTGTAGCGCAAAACCAAAAGGTCGCCAATGGCAAAGCTGGATAATAGTGAGCAGCGATCTCTCGTCGTAGGCTTACTTTAAACCTCAGGAGTGGTATATATTGTTGGCATGAAATGGGACTAAGTAGTCTTATTAGATGAAAAAGGAGTGAGACTTACTAGAGCCCTGATATCGATCTCATAGGAACCTATAGAAGGGCTGAGACAAAGGGGAGAATATATTCCTCTAGAGAGATGGCAACAATCACAACGGTACAGGAAGCTGAGCAGAGTGACACAATCCAGAAGATTGTAAAACTATTTCCAAGTTCATCAATGGTGTCTCTACACAGGAGACCTCTGGCTATGGGAAGTCTAAGAAGCAGGTTCTTTGCAGTTGTGGTCCTCTTGCGATTCCCTATTTTGACTTAGACCAGCACAACAACAATTTGTCCCACCATCTCGTCAGCCTCACAACAGCACCAGGAGAGGATATGCAGGGGGATTAGGGGCACTTTGGGGTTCAGGGATGAGGTTGAACATACAGGGGAAGAACCCAGACGACTTAATATTTCACTTGTCCACTAAAGTCCTGACCCAAGAGACACTCCACAACCATGACTGGCTGAGAACTTTTCACGATCACATCTAGCAGCCTGTTGCATCCAATTTGCCGTGTTATTTTGAAGACGCTGGCGATTTTCTTTGGTCACTCGTTCCAAAGTTAACATTGATCGGGAGGATTCTGACACCCTACTGTGACGCTGGTGTCAGAATGGTTGTGTGATTTTCATCACACAACCATTCCTCCCCGGGAATGTTACTTCTTTTTTTCCTGTCATTTATCAATTAAGATGTTGTGTAATCCACATCCCCTCTCCTGAAGATTGTGTGGACTGTGGCATTGTTTTTGTCCCCTTCCTCCCAGTGGATGATCGTTTGTTGGCCCCTTGTGATTCACATCCTCTGATTATTCCAGGTTTCCTGGTGTTTTTTTGTTTTTTTTATGCTAAATGATTTCTGTTGATGTATGTTTTAGTCTTTGCACCATGTTGTCCCGTGTACCTTTTTGTAACAGATCAGATCTTTTTTGAAAAACGTCTTCCTTTTTTTGTCATTCTGACAGAAATAGCAATATTTGTCTTTCTCAGTCATGTGATAGTTATTTGAGAAATGTCTCTGTCTGGTTTACTCTATAATGGCTGGGGTCTCATAAAGCAGAGTGATGGTTGTACATGTTTCCATAGTGGGACAGAAGAATAGAATAAGTCTATCTATCTATCTATCTATCTATCTATCTATCTATCTATCTATCT